GAAGTACATAATAAAATGGCTCCCAATTCGTGAGGTGCCCAACTGACCGAATTTACACTAGCCTGGTGAGCTGTATGCTCAGCAATAATAGACCACTGCTGGGTTTCTGGTTGTTCCTTCCAAATCAATGCTTTCCCATCATATGAACAGGAGGCTAATATAGACCCAAACTTAGGGTGTGCCCAAGCAACTTGCCAAACTGGTCCTTCATGGCCAATCAATGTTTCAACTAACTTGTAGTTTTCGGTTCCTTCGACCTCGAAGAGTTTAATTGTTTTATCTGACGAACATGTAGCTAATCTTTTCCCATAGTAATCTAACACAGCATCGTGTATTAAATCATCATGTGCATTACCGATTGTTACCATTTTGTTATCTAACGAATTATTTTTCTAACACAATTTATCCACCCAGGGAAAGACGTACAGTTACTTTGGTATTTAGATATAAAGATAATGCCTATTTATCAATTGATTGATCAAAAGACGTGTTAAGAAAGCTCACCATTATAAATCTTGTTGATTTGGAATTTCGAGGTTTATGTTACCCGGCTCGAAATAGAGATACCAAAAGATTACTTACTATATACTACCATAGCCAAATCGATAGTAAGGGGCCTACTGTAAAAGTTATAGAAGATGGAACAACAGGACGAAACCGTAAAGGTAATTTCGGATCTTATTCAATCTTTGAACTCACAAATTGGCACTTCATCGAATCATATAGCGACACTTGAAGGATTGACAAAAAAGCTAATACCTAATGAGACTAAAGAGGTAGAGGTTCCAGAGAAACAGAATGTGAAACGGAAGCTGTCACTAGAGGAAGAAGAGGAATATATAATACGGGTGTTGGAGCAACAACGGCTAGAACGGGTAATGGATTTACAAAACCATGAGTATTTGAATGAGAAGCTAATGGAACTAATCGATCTGAACGAAGATATAATGCAAAGCGTCAAAGAATACCTCGAAAGGAAGGGAACGACAAGAAATGATGAGAGAAAGTTTGCTGAGTCAAGAATTAAGCATTTTACCGATGATTTGGTTGAACCAACTGTAGGCGTTCTTGAATCAAACCTACTTCAATTGAATGACGGTATAGAAGAAGTAGAGCAAATGCTAAACGGATTCGTAGAATATTTACAAAATAATGATCTGAAGATGTCGCCTGAGTACCAGGAACAGGTTAATGCATTAATTCAAGTTATAAACACGGCATTTAATATATAACTATGAATTATTTTTCTTGATAGAGTCTTCTGAAAGTGAAGTCTTAGAGGGATCCTTACCTATAATAGAATAAATTTTGTTGATGTACTTTTTATTTGGATCAACTTTTTTCCACGTTTGACTAATCCTATCAAAATTCATTTTGCTTCTATCAAGATTGAAGGCTTGGAAAATATACGACAAGAATTCATAAATGAAAATAATTAAGACCCTCAAAATATTGTCTCCCTTGGACTGCGATGTTTCGGTACAATTTAATTCTTTAGGATCATCACCAGTTAATTCTGAAATAATAGATTTCTTTTCATTCATGTCGACAAAAGTTTGATTGAATCGATTCAGATAGATCAAATTGTCAATTAGTTTGGATAGCTTTTTCATGCTTTGTGTATTTAGTTTACTGTCAAGCAAGTTAGAATATTCCTCGAATTCATTGATTCTTTTTCCAACAATTCTAGTCTCATAAACCAACCTGTCAATTGTCGCTGATAGATCATCGAGATTAAAATTTAGAGAGCTGACTAAATCACCTTCAAGGATCCTATTCTTGTTATTAATTACTTGATTATGCATATGATTAAATGTAATGATCTCATGATTTAATTTATTGTATAAATTTTCGATTTTCTTTGTAGTCATTAAATCTGTGGATGAATCGTTATTATTATTCTCAATATTTTCAATCTTAACTAGGTTATTCACATTGTTTAAGTAGTTAGATGATAGTTTATCAATTGAAACAATTGGCTTCTCAGATTTGGAACAAAAGTAGTCGTCTAATAATGAACAACTCAAGCTACGTGTCAACTGGAATCTATTATTTTCTAGTTCAATATCATGGCGTGAAAATTCAATGACATTAAGATTCATCTCACCTTGTTGAACCACGAATGGATAAGAATTCCTTCGATTTAAAATTGCTTTGAACTTTGAGATATAATGTTTGTTTGCTTTAGAATGTGTGCTTGTTTCATCGTTTCTACCGTCGTACTGAGGACAAATATCATCAGGAGTGAGCAATGAATCTAACATCGACGTCGAATTACCCTGAGAATTACTATTTCCGCTATTATTATCAGCGGCTACTTGTAATGTTAAATTATGCTTTTTAGGTGTGTTATTTGACACTAGAAGCTTTCGATTTTGTAAACCAAGCTTCATCTTATTGAAACCCCGAGAATATTTTGAAGCGTCAGGTACAGATGACGATGAATTAGTATAATATGGTAAACTTTGAGTATGGTTAATTGCATCCTTTAAACTTATAAATCTGTAAGACTTCGAATCATTGTTCGAAGTATGATGACGATGATGGTGTTTATGATGATGTCCCAGTTGAGGAGGTTGTAGGGCAGTTGACACATCGGGTGGAATAGGTTGATGAGTACCAAACCACAATCTGGGTAAAGCTTTACCACAGAGGTAATTCTTGACCAATGCTTCCAAATCCAAAGTTTCAACATCCAATGGACTTACATTGTCAGCTAGTTTCGCAATTCGATTTCTAATTCTACCACTTGATTTGGGATTCATATTTTGAAAAGTATCATCGCTGTCCTTATTAGGTGCAATGATATGGTCCTGAACTGTATTTTTGACAACATTTGTAAACTTCTTAAACTCTTTACTATAATAATTCTTATTCTTTTTATACGGGGATGTTAAATTAGAATTCAAATTCGAAGGATTCATTAAATTATCAGGTAGAGCTTCATCAGCATTATCGTAGCTAATATTTGACTTTTCAGGTATTATCTTGGCGTTAGTGATGGCGAAAAGTTTATTCAATGTTTGTAAATCTAACTTTCTCAGTTTCTCTAATTTAAATTGTCTTTGAAATTGACCTATTGAAAGCATGAAATTTTCAAAGTCAAAAGGATCTTTAGGTACATCACAGCCTCCGACCATCTGAAGCCTTATTTTGACACTCAATACCAAACTAATTACTGCAGCTACTGTTCTTGAAGGTAATATTCCATTTCTGATATTAGGTTTGAAATTGTAATGAGGTAACCCAATCAAGTTCCACCACTCACTAATACTTTCGTCTGTTTTATTACAGAGTAATCCATCGCAGTACTTAGCATCGAGAAGATCAAAGTAAAACAAACAGGTCTGTATCAAATTGACTAATTCCTTAATTGCAAACTTTATAGGCACATTAGCGTTGTATATCTTGTATACATGTCTAAATTTATCCTCATTTGCACCAGATACTTTATTCGTAAATAAAGATAACGATCTCCCACTACATTGTAACTTTTTCAAATTCGAATTCACCATAAAATCGTTCTCCAACAGCCTTATATCTCCAGTGGGTATAGTAATCAAGTTGAGATTTGATGGCAAAGATGCGGAATTAGTCACAAATAGCAACTCTTTTGGACCCATTTGTGCTTCGGTGTCCATCTTTTTAATTTTGGCATGGTTAAGCATGAGCTCATTCAAATATTCCTGGAATCGAAGTGGATAATTCTTGACTTGCTTCTTCAATACCGTGAATTTGACAACTGACACTTTCGACTCCATGTTGCCAGTATATGTAGATATTATGGTTCCGATCTTTCTGTTTAGTACCCATTGCTCTACCAAGTAGATATCCAAACCTGATGAAACATTTTCCTCCACCAAATGGAATTCATTTGTATTGATAAAGTCCCGCTGAAAATACTTGATAGCATTAAAATCTGGAAAGATATACGTTATCAATTCATCCGGATTAATTGTTTCTGTATCATCTATCGAAGACATGTAGCTAATGAATACTATCTTTATAATAGTATATATTATAAATTAATATTCAAATGCGCATCATATTCTGTTGCAATACTAGACAGTTACCAGTCCAATATCATCTACACATACCAGAACCACATATAGATTCTTCTAGACCATGTCAATCCACTTGAGGTGCTTATGCCATACCTATTAACATTTTTATCCATAGCTCCATATAGATATCGTTTGTTTTCATGTTAAACTATATAAACCCATAATATTATTCGACAAAAATTATATATCAAGAAAACATCCGTGATAGTTTAGTGGCTAGAATTACCGTTTGTCGCATGGTAGACCGGGGTTCAATTCCCCGTCGCGGAGCATCTCTTTTTTTTTCCTGTTTGCGTAATCTCGCTAGTTACATATTTGTGCCTGGTTCCGTGCTCCAATGCTGTGTTAGGTTATGATGCTATTATTAGCCGTTTCTTTTTATCAGAGATTGCTCGTAGCATTTAAAGTACCCCACTGCACGGCAGTATTTTCTCAGACATCAACCCTCACCTATTCATGATATTCGTCAAGATAGCAAGAATAAAACTCGTGAAATTCTCGACGCCGAAGGAATTCCCGTATCATTCATATGCCATTATCTCTAATTCTTATCTGTTAAGTCTATTGGATGATAATGTAACAGTTGGTTTTGTGTAATATAGTAGATATGACATTTGGGGACGAAATTCAATCTTCGCAGCTACTCAAAAGATAAGCAGCATAGATATTTCACGGCTGGATCAACCAATATTAGCGTAAGGAAAATGTAGACAATAGATCATTAACGGCGTACTAGCGGTGATATAAACTAGATAGATCGGTCAATTTTTATTCGTAGAGAGTAGCATTATCTGAAGAAAAGTCGGTTGGGGAACGCACCCCTGTTATTAGGAGCACTTCGTAATTGATAAATAATCATCACTCCCTCGAGCATAAAAGGGATTTATAAAGACTGAGATTGTAGTCTGGTATTATAGCTGGACTTAGAGATAAAGTATGAAAGAGAAAAGCAAAGTTCAAACGATAGTATCGAACCAACTGGACGACGAATCGTCGATTAAAGAGGCTAGTAGTAATAGTAATGATCAGGACGAGACATTCTGGCAAAAGATAATTCGTGTGTGTCAGGTCCAGGAGAAGGGAGACTTGACGACACGACAGATGTTTCTTTATAATTATGACTTGAGGCCCGTGGAAGAGGCAAGGAGAACTTGGTCATGGTTCAATTATGTGTTCTTCTGGATTGCAGATTCATTCAATATCAATACGTGGCAAATCGCAGCCACTGGGGTGGAAAATGGAATGACGTGGTGGCAAACGTGGTTATCTGTATGGTTGGGATATGGTCTAGCAGGTATATTTGTTAGTTTAGGTGCCAGAGTTGGGATATACTACCATATTTCATTTCCAGTTGCCGCAAGGTCGTCTTTTGGTATATACGGTAGTTTGTGGCCGATTATCAATAGAGTGGTCATGAGTTGTGTGTGGTATTCCGTTCAGGCAATGGTTGCAGGGCCATGTATTGGCCTTATGTTGAGGTGTATTTTTAGTCAGAATTTGGATAAAACTTTGGACAAGAAGCTTGACGAAAGCTTGACCACTTTTGAATTTCTTTCATTTTTCCTATTCTGGTTGTTTTCCTTACCAGCCCTTTGGTTCCCCCCGCACCAGATTAGACATTTATTTACTTTCAAAGCGTACGTAGTACCCTTTGCAGGTATCGGCTTTTTAGTTTGGACGATTGTTAAGGCTGACGGTATAGGGCCTATTGTTCACCAAAAAGCAACGTTGGAAGGATCTGCCTTGGGGTGGCAATTTGTACAATCTACCATGAATTCGATTGCCAATTTCGCAACTTTAATTGTTAACGCACCCGATTTTTCTCGTTTTGCGAATAAACCTTCATTTGGGATGAAGTATCTAGTTTATACAATATCCATTCCATTATGTTTCTCAATTACCTCATTAATTGGTATATTGGTAAGTTCAGCATCCACCATTATGTACGGAAAGACATATTGGTCCCCATTGGACGTTCTTGGAAGATTTTTGGATGATTATACTCCTGGCACAAGAGCAGGAGTATTCTTTATTAGTATCTCATTTGCATTAGCTCAGTTAGGAACAAACATATCAGCCAATTCCTTAAGTTTTGGTACCGATGTGACTGCCATTTTACCTAGATTTTTGAACATTAGAAGAGGAGGATATCTATGTGCAGCATTGGCGTTGGTTATTTTTCCTTGGAGGTTAAATTCGAGTTCATCTAAATTCACAACTTATTTATCAGCCTATTCAGTGTTTCTTTCGTCAATAGCTGGTGTGGTAGCAATTGATTATTATTATGTCAGAAGAGGCTACCTCAAATTGACTCATTTATATTCCATTTTTGCACCCGAAAATCCCAGTTCCGAATCGTTTTATAGGTATAACAAAATTGGTTGCAACTGGAGAGCGTATGTTGCATATATTTGTGGTATACTACCAAATATTGTTGGTTTTGTCGGAGCCACAGGGACTCATCCTGTACCAATTGGAGCCACTAGGATTTATGATTTGAATTTTTTCATGGGCTTTATTTCCTCGGGATTGGTTTACGCAATATTGTGCTATTTCTTTCCTTTGCAAGGTATTCCCACTGTTGGTCCTTTTGAGAAGGGCTGGCACGAAGAGTGGCAATATGTTGAAGATTTTGAAGAAGAATTGACTGGTCATTCCGTTCATGAGGGTTTAGAACATAAAGTTGCTTATACTTCCGGTAGTTCTAAAGAAAAGTATAGTGATACAATCATTTAGTTATTTATTTCTTACGTGTTTTTATTCCTATTTATTACTAAACTAATTTTAATTTGTTATAAAATTTTGAGTAGTTGCAAAATACGCTGAATGGAAATGGGTGACATTATGATGTTACCTCAACGTAAATACTCTTTATATGAAGCTTATTTTTATGCGGTATATTAACTTTTACGTCTCTGTTTGCGTATATAATAAGCAACTATTTGAAGATCTGGTAATAAGACACTAAGGCAAAAGGGAGTGGTTTTATACGTTTCTTTGCTACAGGAAGTAAAACATTTTCGTTTCTAATGTTCTTAAAGAGGACTATACCTTTCTAACCATAATATCTGGCCTTTGTCGAACTCCCTTGGAAGATGCCATCCTTGTATATCATTTAGAAATGTTTCAGAAATGCTTCATCTAGTAGGATAAATATAAAATATAAAAAATAAACTATCTGTAGCGAATCAAAATGCACTGGCTGCTATCAATCCCATTTATTTATTGGTTACTTACCTAACTATGTAATACCTATGTAATTCACTTCTAACTCCAGTCATATGCTAAAGGCCAGCAATCATAGATGTACTTGACCTGATCTACTTGCCTCAGCCAGATCACCCCAACCCATAATGCTCCATTACCAGCCGAAGGATCCAAACAATTCATTATGCGATGGCAGGACTTGTTATGTTGATTCCATACTTTGTGGCTAGGGTGCAGCTCTTTTCTCCATGTTAGAATCATCTTTTCCCATTACCATTTTCGTCGTCGCCCGGCATGTACTCTAGCATAGCTTGTAATAAGCTGGATGAAGATGAGATGAGAACCAGTATTTGGGTCTTATGTACCAAGAATACCGGCTACCTAATGATCCTTTTTTGAATTGCCAATCTTAGTATTTCGAAAATTTTGAAGAAGAATTGACTGGCTATTCTATTCACGAGAGTTTAGATCAAAAAATTGCCTACGCTTCTGGTAGTCCTGAAGAAAGGCACAGAGATACAAGCATTATGTATTCATTCCTCATGTATTTTTATTACTATTTATTACTAAATTAAATAAATGTATTCGTATAAAATATTGACTCTAGTTGCAAAATAGGCTAAACGGAAATGTATCATTAACCGTATTTCCTTGGAAATACGAGATGAATTTTTCACTCGAGCTCGGTTAAAAATTATTCCAATCAGATTGTAGATCATATTATTCATACAGAACTAGATAGAAAAACTTCCACAGACACATACAGATATATTAGATTGAATGTATTGTTAAACTATGTTGACTACAAAATATTTGCGGAAGATACATGTGAATCAAATAAGATTCGCTAGTTTCAAAATTCCTGCGTCTTATGTACCTAGTAAGTTAATCAAAACAATTCCTTTTAGTCAGGCTTTATCTATATGGTATCAGTCGTTGAAATCAAGTAGACTACAAACTTTGCAAGATGAACTCACTGAGTTAATGTTACCGGCGGACTTAAATACTCATTTAATCAAAGAGAATAAGAAAGTGAAAATCGATGATAATGGGAATTATTTGAATGAACTTTATTTTGAAATAAACAACAATTCTGAAAAGCCAACAAAGCATGTAGTATTCGTGCATGGTTATGGTGCGTCTTTGGGATGTTTTGCTAGAAATTATCAAATCATTAATAAATTGCAAGATCGAAAGTACAATTATAAAGTCCATTTCTTGGACAATATTTCTTTCGGATTGTCTTCAAACCCGAAGATTGTATCACCGTTAATTAATGGGAGGATTCCAACATGCCCAACTGTAAAGATGAATGATCCGGAACCAACCAGCAAAGAAAATTTGTACAATAAGTACTATAAGTTGATAGAATCATACGAGATAAATAAAGATGAATTTAGAGAATACCAAGAAAAATTTGTTCCTATTTTAAACGAAATGGAGAAATATTACACGGACGCTATTGAAAATTGGCGTATAGAATCCAAAATCGATAAGATTGATCATTTAATTGGGCATTCTTTCGGTGGTTACTGGACTAGTTCATATGCTATCAAGTATCCACAAAATTTATCTAATTTGATATTATTATCGCCTGTTGGGGTCGAGAGACATGTGCATGCAGTTACGAATCCTCTTGATGAAATTAAGTCTCAGCCTATCAAGCCAAGTGTAGATCCAACTTCCTATAACTTTTTGACACGGATGCCTCTACTTACAGGGAAGCACGTAATAAATTGGTATACCGTATTGCCATACTTACCAAGGTTACTTAGATGTCTTGGACCTTGGGGAGTTGCAAGGTACTACAAAGAGAGGTATGGTAGGCTTTTCAAGGTTAATACCGTGACATCCCAACTTGGTGGGGCTTCCGATGTCTTTCAGCACGAAAATGACCTTATTATTGGAACCAATAAAGAGTGCCTTTTATTATTTGAATATCTTTACAACTCTACTACTATCGGATCGCAGTCTGATATTTATATCAAATATTTATTAACGCCTTGCACTGTTAGTAAATGGCCTCTTTACGATAAATTTACCGAGTTCTTCAACAAATCACCAACCTATGCATTCAAAATTCATTTTGTTTATGGGGAATATGACTTCATGAATTCCGAAGCAGGTTTAAAGTTAACCGAAAATATCAATCGTTCATCCGAAAGTTCTATTGCCGATTTTCATAAAATTCCACAAGGAGGACATAATATGTACTTAGATAATCCGTTTGATACCAACAAAATGATTCACAATATTATCCAAAAGCAAGATGATCTTTGAAAACTCTCTACAATATAAAGCACATTAGATTTTTATTATTTATTTATTCATTATTTATTATAGGTTAAAAGTTACATAGTTGATAATTAGCCTTCGCTATTTATTATTAGTTGTTATTAAATACTAAGATGCCCCTTTTATTGACTCCTTGTTTTCTACTATATGTCGGGATACCGTTATGTCTCCAATCTTCGATTATCATTTTTATGTCCAATTTATGCCTATTTAGAATTCATTCCTTCTCCTTGCATTGTCTTTCACTAATCCGTGCAGATAATCTAGGTGTATGAGTTTTAAGTACTGAAATGATCGTTTACCGTATTAGGAAGGTTGCTTGCGACTAATTAAATATCCTCATTAGGGAATTACTGGGTGATAGTATGGTGCAGAAGTCCGTATTTGAAAATTTACATGACTAGCCTTTCTTCAAAGCCTATGGTATAAATCGGAAGCATCTTCGTGAAATGATACTTGATGTATAAACTTTCGGTCTGATAAACAAATATGAAGTGGTTAATAATTATATACGCAATAGTAATATTGGCTATTGGTGCGAGCGCAAAATCACCTAGTGGTGGGTATGCACCGGGAAAGGCTAAATGCCCGAGTAAGAAAAGTTTATTAAGAGAAGCCAAATCAATATCCAATGAAGAAAAGAAATGGCTCAAGGAAAGACAAAAGAAAACGAACCAAGCATTAATAAACTATTTAGATAACGCTAATCTAACCGACTTCGATGCTGAAGAATTCCTCGGGAAGAATACGTCGCTGACTGTAAATATTGGATTGGCATTTTCCGGTGGAGGGTACAGGGCGATGCTAGTTGGGGCTGGCCAGTTGGCAGCATTGGATAATAGGACGGAAAATGCTGATTCGCATGGTCTTGGAGGAATACTACAAAGTTCGTCCTATATCAGTGCTTTGTCAGGTGGTGCTTGGTTGGTAGGATCGTTGGCAATGCAAGAGTGGGCTTCTGTTCAGGATGTCGTATTGCATAATCCTAACGATCTTTGGAATTTAAATTTCAGCAAGCAACTTGTTAATCAGACTAGTCTACTCGGACTTAGTGTACCATTATTAACAGTAAATTTGACTGAAGCTTTGACTCATTTAAATCACTGGCAAGATGAAGATGGTAATGGAATCGGAAACGATTTGATATCCAAAAATAAGGCAGGATTCAATACCACCTTGACAGATTCGTGGGCGAGAGGATTATCTTATCAGTTATATACCGAAGGTAAGGATGATTATGGGTCGTCTGCAACTTTTTCCGATATTAGAGATAAGAAGAGTTTTGCAAAACATGAGATGCCGTTCCCTATTTTAAATGCTCTTGCAAGGCAGCCAGACTCTATTGTGTACGATGAAAATTCTACTATCATTGAGTTTAATCCCTATGAAATGGGATCATTTGATTCATCCATAAATTCGTTTACAGACATTAAGTATCTTGGAACTAATGTGAAAAATGGGGTTCCGGTAAATGATACATGTATTGAAGGCTTTGATAATGCAGGCTTTATTATTGGTACTTCATCTTCATTATTCAATCAGTTCTTAAATACGTTAGTCTGTGATGATTGCACAACTTTAAATTTTCTTTTAAAGCCGTTGGTGAAAAGAGTATTAACCAAATTATCCAGATCCTACGAGGACGTTGCACTTTACAAGCCAAATCCATTCTATAAGTCTGAACATGCCACTCCAGGAAAACTTATCAAAAATGAATCTCTCTACCTCATAGATGGAGGGTTAGGTGGACAAACTATTCCATTAGCAACCATGATGACAAAGGAAAGAGCTATGGATGCGGTATTTGCGTTTGATAACGATGCATGGTCAAATGGATCGTCATTAGTGGCTACATATGCAAGGCAATTCTCTAACCATGGCAAATCACAAATTTGCCCTTATGTTCCTGACGAACAAAACTTTTTATACCAAAATTTAACAGCCAGGCCAACCTTCTTTGGCTGCGATGCTTCCAACATGACGGATTTGGTAAAGGACGGCGTTATTCCTCCAGTGGTCATCTACATAGCTAACAGACCTTTTGAGTACATGACGAATACTTCAACGTTTAAGATGATGTACACTGACAAGGAAAAGAAAGCCATGGTGCAGAATGGATTTGATATTGCAACCAGGGCCAATATGACACTTGACGAAGAATGGGCTGCTTGTGTCGGCTGCGCTGTTATCAGGCGTGAGCAAGAAAGAAGGGGCTTAGAACAATCAGACCAATGCAAAAAGTGCTTTAAAGACTACTGCTGGAATGGAGATAGAGTAATATTTGATCGTACCTACTATACTCCATTGAATTTTACGATGACCGGTAAAACAAATGGAAGCATGGACGTGGATACGATCCGTGATCCTGATTTGTTGACCGGTGTATCCTCTGTCTTGAGCAAAAGAGATACCGGAGAAGTTTCCATGCATCTTTCGACAGAAGAAGATGACGATTATACTCAAAAAATTGTACCAATAATTCCTTAATCATCGCTTAGACCTACATATCATATTGAATTTACTAGATACCATAATTTAATATAACTGTTGATTGTGGCATATGCTTTTATAAACATATACCACAATCAACCTCTATTTTCCTTGTACTATATAGATCTATACGAACTTCTTTATAGCTGTGAACAACATATTGGCCAATTATATGGCTATGATATAAGCAAAGTCATCTCGATTACGTAATCTGCGACAAGAACACAAAGTCGTTTCTTTTTTTATCACGGACCCGAAAGCAGTCATTATTAATAATGGCTATATAAGTATATAATACTAGCCAATAGCCGATATAAAACTTCATAAGTTCGTAAATCAATCAATATGTTTAGAGTTAAGACATTTACACTTCCAAGTATATTTTCAAGGAGATTTTTGTCGTTCAAGACATTGGAAACTCCAAATCCAAACGCATTGAAGTTTATTTCTCCAGAATGCCAAATTTTACCAATTCCGAGCAAGACATTTGAGTTCACATCCACATTGCAAGCAATCCATTCACCATTGGCGTTGAAGCTCTTTAAGTTACATGGAGTGAGATCTATTATGTTGGGAGAGGACTTTTTGACAGTGAATAAGCAAGATCATATTAACTGGGCTCAATTGAGACCTGATGTGGTGGATTTACTTGATGGATTCTTGACTTCGAAGAAGGAGCCAGTGGTTACGAAAGAGTTGATTGAGGAGAGCGAGAAAGAAATAGAGAGCAGTGAAGATGACCTGGAGATTATTTCGATGATTAAGGAATTAATTGAAACTAGAATAAGACCTGCTATCCAGGATGATGGTGGGGATATTGAGTTCAAAGGGTTCGACGAAGAAACAGGCAATGTGTTTTTGAAATTGCAGGGTGCTTGTAAAACATGTTCTTCAAGTGAAGATACTTTAAAAAATGGAATTGAACAGATGATGAAGCATTATATAGATGGAGTTCAAGAAGTGATACAGATTCTCGACCCAGAAGAAGAGATTGCACTTAAAGAATTTGACAGATTAGAGCAAAAGATAAGGGAAAAGAGTCAAGACTCTCCTCCTCCATCATTATAAGAGAGACCTTATAAGCGTTATTTAGACGATTCTTCATTAGCATAATTCATTATATTTTAAGTAAATATCCAATAGGTAATATGATTATACATCTATATGTCTAGAATCTTTAATGCCTTGTAGAATTTCGTTTTTGATAGCGATAATGTTACGCTCATCGTTGTAGCGAGAATTTAGTTCTTTAAGAAGACCCTTCTCAATACAGTCCCGCCCAATGCATACCCTCACGTCTTCATACAACTCTTTTAACCAGGAAAAAGTAAACTTTTCCCATTTTTTAGACACCTGATTGAATCCAACAACCCATCCCAACAACGCAATGGCAATTGCGCTACTAGAGGTAAATTCAAAGTATTGATATGCTAGGAATGATAAAATTGAAAGGGGCAATTGGTAATATACAAATGCAAGACCTATGCTGGAATAAACAACAGGTTGAATTTCAGTCATTAGTCTTTCATTCACAAGATCATTTTTCATCTTCAATAAAGGATTTGAGATTTCGGTGTTGTTTTGATATTGTGCATACTCGTGTTGTTGCATTTGGGATACAAGTTTTCCTCTAATGTAGTTATAACCCTCTATGCTTGAACCCATAAAATTTTCATTGAAAAAGTCCTTGAGATCATATTCAACATTGTCGTTTTTCAAATATAATTTCCACCACCTCAACTTCTTCTTGAAGAATGTATTTGTTTTAGGTATAAGCTTGTTTTGCAATTCTGAATGAACGGAATCACTGAATCGAGGGATAACATCTGATTTAATTGATGAATACACTTCAGTAATTGCATCTGGTGTTATATTATACTTTGAAATATTAGTAGTGATATTGTTTAGTAACCACAGACTTAATGCCTCTGTTTGCAGGAATTTTCCAATGCACTTTGATAGATCATATATGTTACTGTGAATCAATGATTGGAAGTACTCCGTGGATACTTCAGTGTCATGCTTGAGAAACTGATTTATCCCATGGAAACTTAATTGGGAGTTAATCTTTATTATATGCTGGTTGTTTTCGGCTGTCATATCTATTGAAATAGGCGTAGATTCAGTTGAGCTGGGCGAGTATTCCGTATTATCAACAACTGTCAATAATATGTGGTTTTGCAACAGTTTGGAGTATTCTTGGATCGTGCTTGTAAAGTTTCTGGTGACATTGATGTAGAAATGACACATTTTAGGATTGTCGACCAACTGGGCCTTGTCATTAATTTCCCAGATTTCAATATCATTTGATATTTCCTCATCTGACGACTTCATAGAAGAGGATCTATAGATAGAATTCAAAATTGGTGATGGAACTTTGAACTCTTCTTGTATACCATGGTGATTGGGTTCGACTTCGCTCTCCAATCCATATTTGAATTTGTTATTATGTTGACGAGATCTTTCAACAATTTTAGAGAACCAAGATTCATTTC